ATTGACCACAGGTACAATGTGCTGATGGCCAGAGACAGTTATGGGACTTAGGTGTTAAGCAAGCAGAAAGCTTAGGAAGCAGACTGTTCCCTGAGCTGCTTCATGAGGAAGTAAGTGATGATGTAGAAGCACCTGTGCCTCTCCATCAAACACATAGTCTGAAAAGCAAAATTAGTTGTAGCTGTTTCCGCTGTAAATGTCTAAGATTAGGTGAAATCCACCCAAAGCACACTGAGGCATTTCTCAGGTTCAAGAATAGGTTAAACATGTCATCAGAACTAGAAAACTCTGGTGCTGGGAACACAGGACAGAAGTGCCCTAAACCTGACCTCTGAACCAACAAGTTGTTGAGGGATGATATGCATGATCCTCTGTCATAGACATTACAGAAAACCTTTGGGACCATGGCTTCCAAAATTAAAATAGTTGTCATACAGAGTAAATGAGAAGAAGAACTTCTAGATCCTGTTTTATTTTTTACAGAAAGCCACAGCTGAGGGCCTCTGCACCTTCCTCAAACCACCAGCTCCTTGACAAACAGCCCATTTGCTATTCTGTCCCCATCTCTCCAAGGCACCACAGAGCTCAGCCAACAGTGACAGACCACGTTGCAGATCATGGAGTTGCTTGCTGGCAAGTAGTCTCCATGTCCCTTTCTCCAAAGTCCCTTGATACAGAGGACAAAGCAATGCCTGTAAAGCATCACCAATCCTTGATGCTTGGCTGACCAGCATCATCCCAGGCAGAGAAATACCACAGTTTCTGCTGGAAATGAGCAGGAGCAGCTCCCAGAAGCAGAATGCCCTGCTTTGTCCTGAAATGGAGCACAACCCTCTCACCCTTTGCCATGTGCCCACCCGCCTTCCCAGCTCCCAACCTTTAGCCCTCTCTACACCCACAGTTTTTCCACTCTGCTATGGAGCCATGAGAAATTCCCTGCCAGAGGACATTGTTCAAATGGGTTATTGAAAAGAAATGCAATTCCCTACTCCAGGCAAACAAGTTCCTTCTTTTCCCCTTGAGGAAGAAGGATAATAGCACAGTCAGGAAAAAACAAAACAAAACAACATACTATCCCCAAAGCCTGTTGTAATAATATTAAATAAGAAACCAAAGGGGTTTAGCCAAGAAAATTCCAAGTTCAAAAGAATAATTGCTCCAAAAAGATTTAAGCCTACAGCTGAGTCACTAAAATGAAGAAACCTCTCCGTGTACATAGAAAGCAAACAAATCTTGGGTCATGCAGTAGAGCTTCTCTACATCCTTGTTAGAAGGAAAGAAAAAAGAAGCCAGATGCAATTAATCATAGTCCCAGAAGAAAGGATGAAATCTCTATAATTAGCTACGTAGGATCATCTTTTCACTTTTGAAAACTAATTCAGCTGCCTTTTACCTTTCACCTACAGCGCTGCCACAGAAGTCTACTATAAATGCCAAATCACTTCTCTCCAGGGGTATACCCACTTGCAGCAGGTGGTCCCAAAACAGCTTTGCAGTAAGTGTACAGAGAGGGGAAAAATTTGCAGAGTGAAAACAGAGCTTCTTTTCGTAGTCACCTTTTGTGGATGAGCTGTTACGGAGTTTTCACTCTCCAAGAACCTGCAGACCTCAGCTGAAGCAGAGTTATTTCCAAGCTAGGTATTTTATATCCACAATCCTGATCCAACTCATCAATTACCAGAAAACACAAAACACATTAAAAAAATCATACAAATATGAAAACACTTTTCCAAATGTTTAAAGATTACAACTGCTTGTGTTAATAAATTTTCTCATACCTCAGCCTCAGGTGGCTGGGTAATTTGCCTGGCCATCACCCTGCCCATAGAAATCCTGTTCTTCACAGCTGTACACACAGTTTGTAGGGAGGTGAATATACAGGGCTATATATTCACAGAACCACAGAATATTCTGAGTTGGAAGGGACTCACAAAGATCACTGAGTTCAACTCTTAAGTGGATGGCCCACACAGGGATCAAACCCACGACCGTGGTGTTATTAGCACCATGCTGTGCTCAACTGTGAGCTAACCTCAGGGTGTATTAAGAGCAAGATCTCCAGCAATTAATTTCAGTAAGGCAAAGCCAGTTCTTAAGCAGTGGAAAAGTAAAAACCGCATTTCACCAATGAAACATGTCCACATCTGACTAAAAGTCATAATTCCTTTACTACAGCTTCATTCAAAGTTTTGGAAAACTTGGGGGGAAAGTGTAGCACTTAAGAGAGAAAAGGCTGGAGCTGGTGCTTACAGCTTAAGAACAGTGGTCAGGATCTAACATTCAAAAAATCCTATGCAAATCAGAACACTACATTCAACTGCTCCATGGCTCCCTTAATAAATAAGGGTTGATAAATATTATTCCAACAATGAAAACAGTAACAGACCAGCTCTTTAGGTCAAATACATGAACAGTAAATACAATACAGAAGAATGATATCAAAATTACATCAGCTGAGGAACTGAGACTGATTTCTACTTCCTCTCTTGTGTACAAAGCACTGCTAACATATGAATAATGCTGTACACAACAGACAGAGAGCGCTGGCCAGCTTTGTGGTGAGGGAGAGCAAAGAACAGAGAGTGGACACAAATCTCCAGCTTTGCTCTTCCATGACACAGCAGAAACACTTAGTTTTTAATTGGAAGGTGATTGAGTCATTCTTCTGTGAAAAAAAAAAATGGAAGTGACTACGCAGCTTGAAGTACAGCTGGAGCCTTCCTGTACAAATGTGGGAAACAGGCAGGGATGATTAACAGCCAGTCCAGGGGACAGAGCAACAAGGCCAAAGAGCCTCGAGTATGTCCATAATGCAACATCTACTCTTTTCCCTCCAGGTCTGTGCCTCAGACACAGCCAGAGGTGCTGGAGAGGCTCTGGGGCTGTTTTGTTGCACAGAGCTGCCTTCAGCTGCCTGCACAGTTGAATACCTGCTCACCACCAATATCAGCCAAAACACTAAAGCCCCGTAGATTGTTCCTCTAATCTTTGCACTGAAATCTGGCAGAGGAGCCAAGCACAGTGTCAAAGCAAAGGTGGGATTTGGCTACAGCAAAGGTTGTTACCAAACACTCAGATCAGCTTTCTGAGCCTGAAGCTGCTGTTTATTAAATCATATCAACCCTCTGCATACCAGGGTGCTCAGGAGGGCCCTGCCAGCACGGTAGAGTCTGTCTCTTGTTAACAGAAATTCCTGTCATCCTTCCAGAGGGATGCACAGATCCTCATGGAGAAAGCCAAATGCTGCCGCTAGACAAGCTGCTTTCCCCAGTCCTGCCACGGGACCGAAGAGCAGCCCCCGATCCACTGCGACGGGCTGTTCCCGCTGCCGGGCAGGATCACCGAGCCGAAGCTGCCCTCCTCTGGATGCGAGAGAAACAACCACTCCACGGGAAAGCCAAATGCTAAACTGTTTTCCAGGTTCACGTGCCTGACTTTCCCATAATTACGGGCAACGTTCACTTTTCTCAGTGTTATGCTGCAGGTACAAAGTTTAAGGTCCAGAAACTTTCAAAGCGAGTGGGGAGTCTGGAAGGCTCCTGTTGTCTGACACACCAAGCCCAAAACGCCAGACTGCAAAAGGTCTGACTGCATTCAAATGTCCCTGTCTAATTAAATGAAACAGGAGATTTTCTCCTACTGCTGGTTTTTCTATAAACCAGTGACTGATGCACACATGGTAAAGTGAAACCCCATACATTTTTGCTAGATAACAATGCTTCAAAGTTGATGTTTAGATAATGCATACAACCAAAGCCGAGCACTGAGGTAACCTTTACTTACACACAGTTACCATGCAGAAGGGACACAATCACTGTATTTGATTAAAAATTATACTTACTAAAACCAGCAATCATCCAGCAACATCTATAAAAACTTTTAAATGCTGATTAGTTAGTATTATTTATGTCTCCAATTTTCATTCTATGCAACCACGTAGCAACTACAAAACAAATCCTCCTAGCCAGCCTTGTGTCACGTGGCAAACACAGAACAGGTACCAACCACAGCAGAATTAAAAAAAGCCTTTTCAGGTATTCAAGAAAGAGGAAGAAAACCACTGAGATTCTGCAACAATTAATTTGGCCCAAGGTTGCCAAGGTACAGCAGCAAAGAGTTTTCAGGGTATTTTTTACCCTCCATCTTGTGGGGTAGAGTTATTTCCATGCCAACCTGAATCTGCAAAAGCAAGTGTCCATAATAAAAAGAAGTAGAGAAAAACAAATCCTTGGAAGTTCACAAGAGAAATTTCCCCCCCACCACCACCAGAGAAATGCTGGGGAATCTTCCAGGGAGGTTACAGCCACATGCACTTCCCTGCCTGCAAAGTTCTCCAACACACTACACCTTTTGAGCTTCCTTTACTATGAAAGGAGAGTGCTAAATTCAGTAAAACCAGTCATTTCTTTCCCATAGCAGAATACAAGAGAGGGTGGCATCCTGCTATGATGTGCCAAGCTATGGAAAGCAAACAGGAAAGTTGCTGGCGTGTGCTTCATCTTGCTGTCACAGGGCTAGACCTGTTTGGTTTTTTCCTCCACTGCCCCAAGCTTGCCTTTCCCTTGCCCAAGGTCTTGCTCTATATTGAGCATCCCCCAGTTCTCCACGAGCTTCACACTGCTCCCAGTTTCCATTTCTCAGCTGCACAACATCATTTCTTAAAAGCAGACTATGTCATGTGTGCTGCTTTTCAGCACACTCAGCTCCAAAGGGAAGACAATCAGGAGAAAGACAGAATCCACTTCTCAATTCAGTTTGGTTTTAAATCAATTTAAGCACACAGAATAGAGAGGAAGTGATATTTTCAACAAGATCTCATTAAAAACACTGGGAGTAATTCTTTGGAGCAGTATGGAAAGCAAAATTTAGAGTTCTGATATGATCCTCTACTGCCACCAGGAGTAAGATATCACAAAAGCTGGGGGGAGAGCTAAATATGCCTTAGCAGCTCCCTCTCAGTGGTTGCAACAAAATCAATAACAAACAAGTGTGCCACTCACCCAAATTTGGTGGAGAGGACACCTCCCAGCGCAGAGCCAGCGATGATGCCTATTCCAAAGCAAAGACCCAGCTTCCCCAAGGCATCAGCACGTTGGGAAGGAGAAGTCATGTCTGTAATAACCTTCTGAGCACCTGCAGGGGAGAAAAAAAATTCCAGTCTCTTGAAAGAAGCTTGCCATAGGGTTTGAGCAGATGCTCCAGCAGTTCTCATGGTTTTATTGCTAAGCCATTAAGAGCCTTTTTCATATCTTTTTTTTTTTTTTTTTCCCTTTTTCCAATCAAAACTCTGCTGGGCTGGTTTCTGTCCAGAGGCAGTTTCCCCAGCTCACAGGTTTTGGACTCTGGATGGAAGAGTGCCTCCAAATCAGCATTGACCCTTCCTTCTGGGAGCCCCACAGTCCATCAGTTTTGAACACAACAGCCTGATCAGCAGAGACTGTCAGATACACTGGGACACTCCATCAATTTAATGTGGAGACAAAAGCCCCTTTGGGAAGTACCTGGTGCTGGTGTGGGAGAGAATTATAGAGACCAGATTTCTGTTGGACTATATGATCTTAAGTTCCTTTCCAACCCAAATGATTCCATGATTCCATATAGATCTTCAGGTCACAAAAACAATGCCTGCCACAAAATGGTCCTTCCAACCCCAAGGCAAATGCTCATGCACACCCGCTGATTGAATGGGTTCAGCCCATCAGTCATGGGAAACAAAAACATTCAAACCACTCAAATAAACCACTTCACAAGTGGCAAGAAGCAGCTTATCCCCATATCAACTTGAGTCCTCTTGCACAAGTTACATGAGCTTCTAGTAGCTGAAGTTTGTTTTTCACTAGAAAAAGAGAGGAAATGTAAACTGAAGCAGAACTTCTTGGTGGGTAATGGAAGGTGTTTCTGTAATAACATTATTTTTTGCCAACATGCTCATTTTTCCAGAAGAAAGGGAAAGCTCTACTATAAAATACTGTGGCTGCAAGAAGGCAGTTGAGAATTCTGGGATAGCACTGCTGTCAGCAAGTGACTTTCTCCCGAGTCTGGGTGGTCAAACCCAAACAATTTGCTCAAGATTACTCAGGAGGATGGAACTACAGGCTACTAAGTGCTGCTTCCCATAACTAATACACCTGCTGCCTCATGTTCTCACCATTTCATCCCTGAGGACCATTAAATGTTCCTCCTGCCCTCCTTCATACTGTTGAACCTGTTGACTTCCAGCAAAATGAGCATGAGGGGAAACAGGCAATAAAAGCAATTTGGAAAGCCACTTAGCCCTCACTGACCTTACCTGGTATCACATGCATGAACACCCCTGGCAGCCTGGAGAGGAAGAGGAGGGGGATGCTGGTGGAGATGGACATAAGCAGGAATAAGACACTTCCAGATGCACAGGAGAGAATTAAGGCTGCTCGGGCACCAAATTGGTCTGCAAACCTGGTACAGAAATGGTAAAAGGTTGTCAGTTTTCTATTTAGAGTTAAAAAACAACAATAACAACAACAAAAAACTTCACAATAGTAAATCCGTTTGGCTTCTATTTGAGGGAAAACACAAAACACACAAACAAACAAAAAACTCCAGCCAGATCAGGTTTTTGATCTGACTCCAACTCTTTGCAGTAATTCAGCTCCAATATACTTTAAGCTAAGCTGGGCAAAGTCTGAGAGTACCACAGAAACAATTCTGAGCAACTGGGGACTATGATTACCATAAAATAGGCCTTAGATAGTGTTTTTTGCTGCAATTTCTCCTTCCTTTATTTTATTGAAGTTGCATATTTACAGTTAGCAGAGGAACATTACCTTGCATAGCAATTAGTTGTGCTTACACCAAGAGGAACAACCTCCCAGAAAATGCCAAGACTGGTCTAAAAACAATGCTAAGCATTAGTAATTAAAAGGCTTTCTGTTGAGGACGAGCTACAGGTCAAAAACTTCATTGTTTACATGAAAGCCAGGAAAGTTTACATTTGCTATTTGTAACCTAAAGACCACAGTTTGCTACATAGTCCAGGGTTGGTGTGGGTTTTTTAGTTTTGTTATTTAAGAGTAAATTTGATGCTTTGTCTTCTTATGGTTGGTTAGGAGCACCAAGAAAGAAGAACACAGAAAACTGACCTAAACAACAGTTTTCTCTCTCTTATCCCCCTTCTTCCTATTTTTTATTTATCTAGCTTTATACTGAGGTAAAAAAAGCTTCACATCTAGGAAAATCCATTTTATCTCAAACCTACATTGCAAATTTTGGCTTCAATCTGGCATTAGACACCTTCAGTCCCAGACAGATTTTGCTTTGCCATTTTCTTTCCCTTCAGCAGGTCTTCTGGATATTAGTGAATGACATGCACAGAGGAAAACCAGATTTCATATGGTAGCAGATCCAGAAGGAAATATTCCTCCAGATATGTGTATTAATAGAAAAAGCATTTTAAAAATGGGCCCTTTGCACCATCTCCATTCTCAGGAACATATTTTTTCCAAGCAGTACTTTTGGATCAAATGTTATTGTTATTTATTTTAAAATGTGTCCAAGGGCTTTCAGAGATCAGAGCCTCAAAGTGCCACACACCATGTACTAGAGGATCCTGTAGTGCTCACAACTACATTAACCAGAAAAGTAAACCCCATACAGGAAAACTGAGGCCCACACCAGCTCCCTATCTATTTATTACTTTGTTGATCAGTAGCAGGAACAAGAAGAAAAGTTAGATTTTCTCAGCCTCATTTTAGATTTTTTATCTCTGGATTACATACCTCTTTCATTTCTGTTTTTCTGCTCTTTGGGAATGCATTTTCCCACCACTCAAATTTTGGGGGCTATTTTCATTTCATTAGGGTCAGGAAAGTATATCCCAAGGGTTGAAGAGGCAGAAACCCTGAGTCTTTTCCACTCTTATTTTGACAGATGAGTTTATAGATGTTCTTGAAAGATCCATGCAAGTCCAACTTTGTATTCAACATGAATGCAGATATGGTGAGATTCAGTTGCAAAAATGACATGACTCTCAATTATTTTCACTGACAGCTCTACTTAACTCCTCGTTTTTGTTTTTGTTTCTAGTCACAAGACACTTCTAAGGTTACACATGGCTATAAAACATTTGCAGGATTAAGCTGTTAGGACCTGGACTCTGAGGACTCTGATGGTTTAAGCCATTCCCAGTATACTGTTACACTTAAATGTGCATCATTAAAATGTACCTAAGTTAATATAAAGCCTGCTTCTATGTTGCACTATTTCTAATTATAGCATTTATTTCTCCCTTGCTTGTTATGAAATCCTCAAACATTTCAGTAGGACCACAAACTAAATTATTTTTATGAAAATATAAAAATGTCTGGCCTTTTTCAGCTATGCAAAGGGTCATGAGAATCATTCTCACTTACCTTCCGAAAATGTAACCTCCCACAAGCTGGAGGACACCAAAGATTGTCTGGAGGTAGCCAAACCCCACTGAATCCAAACCCAGGCTCTTTGCCAAGTACTAAAAAAGAAAAAAAACCCAACAGGTCAGGGGAAAAGAAGCATACTATATTTATGAATAATGAGCTTAATGCATGTGTGGAGAGTACCATAGCTCCAAAAAAGAACATTCTTCACTTCCCCATACCTACCTACAGACGAAATCTTCACTGGGGCAGACACAGGCTGCTTAATAAAGACCAAAGGTCTCTATCCCACACTCTGAAGATCAGGGGGATGCGATCAAAATCATCAGTTTTGCACTAGGTGACAAATCTGTATCACCATTTACCTTTGTGGTCCAACAGAATGGAACACGTTCAGCAACTTCTAAGGGGGATGAGGGAAATTTTTATTGCCTTCCTGCCTCCAGACCCTGTGCCTGGGGCAGTCCAAGCACCCTCCAGGAGGTGACTGCGGTGAGGTCTTTGAGCTGTTGTGTAATCAAGCAAGTTGAAATCAACGGAAGTACCACATGGGCAAAATATTGCCTTTATTTATAATCTGGATGGTGCACCCACAACCTGAACTTGCAAGAAGCCACAGAGGCATACCTTGAATATTCACAATACTTCAGGTGTGGATTTTTGTTGTGGTGGTTTTCGGTTTGTTTTTGTTTTTTTAAATTTAAATACTGTATATTCAAGGGACAGCTGTTTCTGACTCATGTTTTTGATTTGTGCCATCTGCTAAGATTTGTTTAAAACTCTGAGCCAAGTTCAGCTCTCAGAAGATGTGGAGGCACCTCAGTTCTGCCCACTTCCCAAATACATGGTCTTCACTCAGGTCCACAGATCCCCTATAACTGATCAGAGATTGACTACACCAATCTCCCATACATAAACTGCCTCTCAGGTCTAGCAACTCAGAGCACCATGGTTTAGTTCCAGAAGAAGAGAGCAGTTTGCCTCTGGAGGCACAAATTATCAGAGAGGTGTCTGAGAAAGCATAGCCTTTCCAGAGACAGAGGTGGACAGGCATATCATAGATTCAGGAGCTCACAAGAGCAGGAAAGCTGCCCAGCAGAAACAGACCTGGTGGTGCTGGTTGACAGCTGGCTGAATATGAGCCAGCAGTGTGCCCAGGTGGCCAAGAAGGCCCATGACTATCCTGGCCTGTATCAGAAATAGCATGGCCAGCAGGACCAGGGCAGTGATCATCCTGCTGTACTCAACTCTGCTGAGGCCACACATCAAATCCTGTGTCCCATTTTGGGCCCCTCATGACAAGAAAGACATTGAGGTGCTGGAGCGGGTCCAGAGAAGTGCAAGAAAGCTGGTGAAGCGTCTGGAGCACAGGTCTTACAAGGAGCAGCTGAAGGAGCTGGGGTTGTTTAGCCTGAAGAAAAGGAGGCTCAGGGGAGACCTTATCACTCTCTACAACTACCTGAAAAAGAAGGTTGTAGTCAGCCAGGCTCAGTCTAGCTGGTCAGGTCTCACAGATAACAAACAATAGGACAAGAGCAAACGGCCTCAAGTTGTGCCAGAGAAGGCTTAGATGAGGTACTGGGAAAGGTTTCTGTACTGAATGTCAAACACAAGACTGCCCAGGGAATTGGTGGAACCACCACCCCTGAAGGTATCTAAAAGATATGTAGATGTGGCACTTTGGGACATGGTTTGGTGATGGACTTGGCACTGTCAGGTTTATGATTGGACTCAATGATCTTAAGGGTCTTTTTCAACCTAGAGTGCTCCCTGATTCTATAAAACCAGACAGAAGAGTCCAGTGAGTGAGAGGCGAAGAATTCCACTCAGAGTTGGTTTATACACAATCAGAAAAACCCTCCTCTGATCTGAAATCCCTGGTTTCTGCTACCTGCTGTTTGGGTCACTCTCACACTGAAAGCAAGCAGACCCAAATTACATCAGCTTTACCCAGAGCCATCAAAGCAGGCTCTGGGTGCTACTGCAATGCAACAAATAAACTAGCTTTTATTGCCCAGGCATACCCTGAACAGAGTCACAGCTTGCCTGCTAGGTAGGAATACCAAGTATTCCTTTCAGTATCAAGCATACCTTTCCCCTTTCCTGCTAGAAACTCTCTTCTGACTTTGCTGGAAAACTACATAGCCTGGCATTGAAGGAAATGTGCTGTGAACCAAGAGAACCCATACTCACAGGCATGATTCCCATCTGCATGAAGAGAAAGGTCAGGTCTAGGGCTGCAATCAGGTAGGCAACAAGGATCACTTGTCTCCTCTTAACCTCTCCTGAGTGGCCACTCTCCCCCAGGGTCTCGTTCCTCATTCCTGAAGCTTCTTCCTCACCTTCAGAGGTGGCTTTTGCATTCATCATGTTCCTGAAACGACTTGTTGCAGTACAGGCTGAAAAATGACACGAAGGCACTTCCTAGGTGAGAACGTGAAGCCTAGATAAGGTGCAGAAGCTGTGTGTACAGTTCAAAGCTTACAGTGTGAAAGGTCCTGAGTCAGCATGCCACAGATTTATTGTTTCCTTTTTTTTTTTTTTTTTTTGGCTCTTCCCTCTGCTTACTTGCCAGGCAGGATCAAAGGTAACCACACACCAAACCACAGATTTAGTTCTTTAGGCTTGTCCCGGGTGGGCTCATTGCTTCAAGTGCCATCACAATGAAGACCAGCTTGGGTGTCCCAGCAAAGTGAAAGTGGACATTGCCCTAAACAAGACCACGTGACAAACTCTTCAGCTCTTTAACTGTTTCATGTCCTTCACTTTTATTGCCTCTGGTGGCTCAGAAGAGATGACTGTTTTAATTCTTCATGAAAGGCATTTTGATATTGTTGTTGGAAGTTGCAAGTGAAGCTTGCAGCAGAATAGCTACTTCCAAATCCTCATGCTTCTTGCAGTCAATTTATACAGACCCTGGAACACGAATAGGTCTTTCGTGTGATTAGAGCTACTCTCATCAACACCTGTAGCTGAGCCATTTTCCCTCCTCTATCAGGTGCTGCAAATTTATAGAAAGTCTGAGCTAGCAAATGTTCACATGTGACTCCACTCAGACTACAGATTACCAACCAATGCAAAAAACATTAAAAAAAAAAGCATTAAATCTACAGAAATCACGAGGGTGACTTCAAACTGGGGAATCAAATAAATAAGACTCCTTTGTCCTTTGGAGGTTTTGTTGTTTGCTTTCATGTTTACTTGAGGTTTTATTTGTTTGTCTGCTTGCTTGTTTGCTTGGGGGTTTATTTGTTTGTTTTCTTACTTGTTGAAGCCTGGAAGTTTGGTTGAGCATTATCTTTATTTTAAAGAGAAAAAGCAAGCAGAGATCCCAGTGCTTTGACTTTGTAGAATTACAGGGAAGGAAGGGAACTGAAGATCTCATCCACCCTGTGGCTTCAACACCTCAGTTCAACTGTGCTTTTTTTACTAGGCAATCTTTGAAAAACTCAGAGAAAAGGGATTTGTCCACTCCCTGGGTATCTGGGAAAGACATGTTAGCTAATGTCCAATCTGAGTTTCCCAAGCTACGGCTTGCACCTGTTGTCCCTCATGGTATCAAATGCCAGTACTAGCAGGAGTCTGGATGCATCATCTCTGGAGCTGCCCTTCAACTACTCAAAGATGACTGTTAGATCATCCCAGCCTCCTCTTTGTTGGGCTGAACAAGCCAAATTCCTTCCACCTCTTTCAATATTAGGTACTCTAGAACCCTGAACAAGATTCTTGGTAGCTCTCCCTTGGGTCCAATCCAGTTTGTCTACTCATCTCTTGAACTGGGAGTCCCAACACTGGGTCAGCCTCACCAGCACCAAGCGAAAGGGAATGGCATCTTCCCTGATTGTCCTGGTTATGCTCCTCCTCAAATGCCCCACTACATGGTTTGCCTTATCCCTGAAGAGAGTGCACCCTTGGCTCACACAGCATTGCTGTCACCCACGGTCCTCACACTGTGGGTGCTACACATCCAGTTGGGCCCCAGCCAGCTTTGATGCAAGTGGATATTCTGCCCCAGGCTTGGGGCAAACTGTTGCCACTTTCATCTTGTTGAAAACCTTGAAGTTTTGGTTGATCCAGCTCTGACATTTCAGGCAGACCTTCCAGCCTGAGGCTCCATCACTGACTGTGTGTCAGCCAGTCCCTCTAATATAGTAACACCTCCGTTCAGGAACAGAGTCTTGACTCATCATGAAGGCTGACACAGACACATCAATACAGAGACGTGCAGAGGTTTTTGCTGCCTCGGATCTGGAATGGTTAACAGGGCTTTAGTTTTCCAAACAAGTCGAAGGAGAGTGAACTGTAAGATCTCTGGGCACACCTTTTTATTCAACACATCATCATCGAGCTCTGGGATTTGCTGAAAATTGCCAGGCTCTACTTCCTGAGGAAGGAGGGGGAAGACCAAAGGTTAAATCTTTCACTGGGTGTGGATACCATATCACTGGAGACTGCACAGAAACAACCTTTCACAAACTCAGAGAGAGCATGAGTGAAAAAGCACCTCTGAAGAACGACTTACCTACAGCAATATTAGCACTCAAACAGATCCAACTCAGATCCTGGACCCCAGGATTTGTAGTTGTTAGTGAAGAAAAATGACTATCCAGCATGTATCCCAGTTTAGCAGAGGATCAGGGCTCGACATTTGGTTCATCTCAGAGTGAAACAATGGTTTGCCTGCACTTTGAATGTCCTTCAGCACAGTACCAACATCATCACTCACTCATTTGCACTGGATAGGCACAATGTACAAATTACCAGCATTGAATAGAAGAGTAAAATGAATGACAGAACTCTGTTTATGGAGGTTTTGAGAAAACCAAAAAGGAAAGTCATGCAAATGCAATGTAAAACACTGCTTACAGGAAACCTTGCTGACTTGGACTTGAAAAGCGCCAATATTTTGACTGGTGAATTTGTCTCAGCAGCAACTGAAAACAGATCCCAGCAAGGCGACCAAGGGGAGGGAGCAATGACTTGCAGATGCAGCCACTCTTCACCAGATATGAGCCTCGTCCTGCCAGGGCATGCAGTGCAGACAGCTAACCAGCCACATGCTCTCACTTGGATTTAGCTTCTTTTTACTGGAATTGGCAAGGGAAGTGGAGTAAAAAACCCCAGAGTTTCATTCCCAGTCTTTGGAGCAAAAGTCACAGTTCTAAAAAGTAGGAAACTAAACTTGATGCCTGGTGCGGAGGTGTCCATGGAGAATAAGCTGTGATCATCAGCCTTGGTTCCTGTACATCTCTGGATGCCTCTTGATGGCTCAGTACACAAGCCTGCTCCTTAGCATCCCAGATCAGGCTGCAAGTAAGAAAGTGCCCTGGGTCCAGCTCAGTGATCATCTTCTTGCAATAGCCTATTTGGGCAGGATCATTTACCTCCCCATCCCTGCATTTTGGCATAGACAGGACAAAGGCAAGAGGGTGGGAGTGTTAAGACACCTTTACAAGCCATGAGCCAAGTTATGCCCATGCTGCCCTGGCCCCAAGGATTTGGGGATGCAGCTGTATTCTCCAAACTTGGCCAAGATGTTGGCAACCTCAAATCATCTTAATATCCTCTTGCAAGGTCTTCTGCACGGGAACTTGGACTTTCCTGACTTTCAGCATCCGATTTTTGAAACCTTGCCCCACGAATCAGTCAATCTAAAGGCTAAATGTGGCAGCAGGAGCACTGATGGAAATACAGCCAGTGTGATCGATGCAAGGCAGATCCTCCTCCTCCCCTGAGTGAGAAGTCTGACTGAAAATGTCTGCAGGAGCCTAAGTATGATGGAGATTAACTCTGTTCCCAGCTACGCTCTGCTGAACATCACCTTCACAGCCATCCAGCTCAGGGCCAGTTCATTTCTACCTGCAGTGATAACACACCATTAATGACAGATGGCATAAGCTGGCACGGTATTTTTATCTAAAAGCTCCTTCTGGCTCAATTATAGACTACACCACAGGTAGCAAGCACTTGGTCATTGACAAGCCATTTCTGAGAAAGAAAAATAATTTTAAAACTGGGGAGGAACAGGTTATGAAGAGGAAATTAATTTATTTGGGTAGGATAAATAAACTTTAAATGGACAGATATTTCAGGGAGACTATGGTGAAAGCAAGCAAGAAAATAAATGTCTCGTGATAAAATTGCAGATTAGGCCATTAGCTATGCACTAAGCCTTGACACTTATTCCCAACATTTTTGGAGAACTCATAGTTGTCTTCCCTGGAAAATCTTTTCTGAGGTCTATTTATCTGGTGATCTCTGAAAAAAAAAAAAAAAAAGAGTGGGAAACCTGAGAAAATCTTTAAAAATTTTCAGAAAGGTTTATTGTTTATGTTACTTGGGCAGAAATCTTTTCTTAAATTACTGGAAATGGGAAGCAAGGCCAGCACATGCATGGGGAGGGGGAAATCCACTCACATCAATACCAGAAGTTGAAAATGTTGGTTGAAAAAGGATAAACGGCAGTGAAATAAATCTTGAATCCTTCTCTGAACTTGTATTTTTAGACAGAGGAAGCTTAACATGAATTGGAGGAACATGAGGTACCCTGGATAGGATTCTGCTGTGTACAGAGGGTCAAAACAAGCTTTACAGACTCAAAAGAACCTTGAAGAGGGATGGAAGTTCAAACGTACTGCCCAGCAATGAAGGACACATCTCAGGCCTCAAATCCTCTCTGACTGTGAGCTAACAGGTCTCTTCAGCTAAGCAAAAAATCAGTGGGATGACCCAAATTCTGCTCCAACATAGATCAGTCCCAAATCTTTGCCCTTGTGGATATGCATCTATGTTGCCTCTTGCATTCAGCCAAGCTTTCATTTCTCCTTGCAAAAAGAAACTGCATTTCCATGGGCTGTGTGCCAGGGGTGCCCGGAGGGTCATGAGATGTCAGATGAATAGTTATGAGCAAACTTCTTCTCTCTGCCCAAGAAGCAACAAAGATAACCCTTCCTCCCTTCAAGAGAACATCACGAGGCCACCACATGAAAAACAGTGAGGCATGCAGATATTCAGACAAGGAGGGACATAAAAACCCTTTACGGAGACACAGTCCTCAGGGAGCTATTGTCCTAGAGATGTTTCTTAAACTCTGTAACATGAGAAAGGAAATGGAAGAAATATCTTGAAGTGATTCCTCAATAGTGGGAATGCTGAATTGCTGTAATGAGGGAAACTGCTCAACACCAGCCATGGTCGTTGGGAGCCATCAAACTGCAGGATCTGGCCTGATCCCTCTCTTCCCCCAACCCTAAGACTAAGGGAACAGGCCTCATTTGTATTTGGTGAAAGATTTATACAGTTAAGCAAATAAGAGAATAAATGGCCCAGTATTGCCAAAATTACATCCCATGTTTGTTGACTGATTTATTCCTTTGTCTAATTGTGTTCATGAAAAAAGCAGCTCACTAATGAATGGAAAAAGACTCCACATGGCCAGCAAAAAAAAAAAAAAAAAAGCCATGTTTAGTTTACAAAATAGCACAGTCTTCAGGGATTTTCATAAAAACTGCAGAGACAGTCCAAATTGACAATGAAATCAGATTCCCGATGGCTGCTAAACTCTTTTGGCTTTTTCTATGGGTGTATTAAATTGCAGAAAAGCAATTATTTATAATTTGTTTTTATAAAAATGCTGGTGCGCTTATGCTGTTTGGCAAATTATTATGTGAAATGGAAAAGGCTATTG